ATACATACATACATACGCGCATACATGTGTAGGTACATACATACGTACATACATACATACATACATACATCCGTACATAGATACATTCATACATACATGCGTACATATATACGTACGTACATACATACATATGTATGTACTTAGGTACAAATGTCATGAAGCTTTTTCATGTGAGCATTAACAGATGTCTATTGTAATTTGGTGTTTCATTGGATTCTAGATCATCAGAGGGCTGGCAACATTTGTGCACTGCTGCGTGCCTGGGCTACTAAGTCCATCTCCGCTTCTTGCAGAGACGCCTGCAACAGCAGGTTGCTCAGCGTCATGCTGCAAAGCTACAGCCAGCCGGGAGAGCTTGACTGAGGCGGCGATAAGTGGCCTCAATGGTGACCTTGGCAGCCTCCAGCTTGCTTTTACCATCCAGAAGTGCATCCCGCACTATACCGAGCAAGCGCACCTGCAGATGGGGCAACGTTGTGGACATGTGCCCTTACGAAGCTTCTGCGCTTGCTTTTGGCTGTGCTGTGCCTGATGCGGATGCAACCTTGGCTGCAGCCGACCTAGACTCCTAGACTGCACATGACTGCACCGCGACGGCCGAGTGGCGTCGCGTCACCATCTGTGGAGATGGAATGATGCAAGCTCTCCTGACATGCCCAGGCTTGATACCAACAGACAGGCGCAGAACCCTTACAGCAGCCAAGCTTCAATTAGCATTTGCCGCGCTGGCAAAGGGTAGTCATCAAGCCGAAGAATCTCCTGACGGCAACTAGCAATCCAGTGAATTAGACCGGACTTCTCAAGGCTGAAACCGCTGGAGAATCTTGGTTTCCGCTGCTTTTCCATCGTCAAGATTGGATCGGTGCCATCTTTGGGCTTTTTAAGCGGCTTCCTTGCTTACAGCTAACGAAAGCGAGGCCGCGGAGGTGGCGAAAAAATCCGGTCTCAGCTTGCCACTGGCGTGGCGGACTTCATCAATGGAGGTCACACCAGAGAGCACCAAGAGGGTGCGCATGCCTCCCCGCAACAAACAGAACGAAACTACGACTCGATTGGTCTTGCCCCAGTGAGCCAAGCCTGCCAAGTTTCCGAAGGCGATATCAGTGTCCAGTCCTACAGGATTCCAGTACTGAGGCTGGACGCTTCCCGAGTTACGTGCAAGCAAGCGGCTGTCGCCCACCATCACCATTCTCCGAGCTGGAGGTGAGCCCAGTGATGCCCGGATGATCTGCGCGAATTCCATGCTGGGCTTGCCTCGCAGCACGCAGACACACACACGCACGGACAGAACATGCGAAAGACTGTGTCAAATCAGGCACTCATGCACAGCAACAGTCTGCTTCGGGGTCCTGCAACAGCATCTGCCCCTCTCTCCGTGCGCCCGGCAGCAGCGGCGATGGCCGCAACCACGGAGCCGGCGCCGGGCCACTGCTGGGAACCGGGGCCCAGCTGCCCGAAAAGGTCCTCTGAGCGTTGTCATTAGGCCGGATGACTTTGGTGTGTCAGATCGGCTGCAAAGTGCTATGCAGAACGGTCACATACAAACAACCCTGAACTCAAGATACGAAGCTTGATCAGCACAGACCCAGAATGACATACAGTAGAACGAACAGCTTGCGGATACTGTGCAGCGCAGCATTACATCTTGCATCCCATGCTACATTGCAAGTTTCGTCATTTCTTGCAATGACAGGTATCGTCTTGGAAAAAGCTATCGTTGACAATATTGCGGTGACTAACTCTGCATGGAGCCAGTATATGCTTTAGCACCATGGTGTCCCTACCTTTATTGCCAAAGGTGGGCTACAAAGCTTCTACTTCTTGCTGCATCTCGCTGGTGTGTATGAGACTTGTAAACAGACATTGTAAAGATGTGCGCGTGTTTATACATCGTACAACATGGGCCTAGAAGGGACGGACGGAGAGGGAGAGGCCCAGAGACAACGATCGAGAACGAGCGAGAGAGAGATGAGAGAGAGAGAGAGAGAGAGAAAACCAAAAACAAACTGTGTGCACTCGCATGTGTGCTTGCTGTTTGCATTGTGTGTCTTTTGCTTGTGCACGCATGCATACTTTCAGGCAGGCAGGCAGGCAGGCAGGCAGACAAGCAGACAGACGCACAGGCAGGCAAGCAGGCAGGCAGGCAAGCAGCCTGTCCATCTACCAGTCATTACCTATTTGTCAGTGTGTATGTGCGCCGACCGAAAAGCTTTTACAGCTACAGCTTTGGTACGAGTATGTATATGATGCAAGGTGAAAAAGCACCTGCACGTACATCCACATGCTCTCCTGTAGGTGTATGCATTTTGAATGGACGCGTGCAGATAAGCTTTGTCTGTGCTTGTGCGCTTGCGTGGCAGGGGCGGGCAGGGGTCTACAACCTGGGAAGAAGGATCGCTGTGCGAACAAGTGGCATCGTTGGACGCAAACAGGGGCAGTCCATGCCGAACTAAATGCGCCGCGATGGCGATCTTGTAGTAGTTCACGTGCTGATCCAGGCCTGAGGCGCGTGTATGCACTGCCTGAACCCTCCATTCGAGCGTGCTTATGTCAATGAGAAGTTGCCGAAGGGCAAAATCAAGAGACAACGACAAGAGAATCATCAACTGAAGGTCTCTGTGGCTGCGACCACAAACAACGGCACCACTACCTTAGGAGGAATGTATGCTGCTGGCTTGGCCTTTTGAAAAAGCGGGCGCGGAGCTCCAAGATATTCCAACATCAGAAACCAGTTCTGGTCCAAGCAGCTGTTTCCTTCGCCTAGCCTCGGTGGGAGAAGGATATATGACGTGCAACAACTAAGCTATATCACAAAAAAACCTTCAGCCGCGGGCTCATTGATTGCTTCAGCAATGTCTTCCTTGGTCTTGCCTGTGAAAGGCTTAAAAGGAGCAGTCTTGCCGCCAAGGATGTGCCAATGGGCCACAAATTCGGGTCCAAGGACGTGACACAAAGAACTTTGCTGTCGAAGATTGGGTGACTCAAGACAATTTCAACACCAGCCAGAAACAATATTACATGCCGTGAGACACGGAAGGAAAGGCGAAACGAAGAAACCTGCAACACGCAACCACAGAGCAATGGAGCAACCTCACATCCTGAAAATTGCAAACGGATTACGAATGCGATGTATGCCTGCAGATTAACTACATGCATGCCAGAATGCATGTATATATGTATTCAATACAGCACATACCACAGCACACTCACATGCACGTGCAATCATCTGGAAACAGTGCAAGCACCAACAGACTCATGTATGCGGTTTCGCCGTACGCTTTCGCGCTCAAAGATGTCGAAAACCATGAGAATTTTCGATATTTGGGCCCCCATACCACCAAAACATTGCACCTCTCTGCACTTGTGCTTTCCCATATAATAGCTAGCTGATGTTCAGTGAACTCTGAGGTTACGACCAAGTATTTCCTCAACGAAATAAATGAAAGCTTCAGATTGGTATTTCTTTAAAAAATTTCATGATCACATAAGCCTTAAGCAATATGTATTTATGATATAGCGTTGAGTTCTTTCTGGTACCAAGCGAGTGTCACTGTTCAACTGTATTCGAAAATGCTCAAATAGCTTATCTGCACATTTAATCAATAGGCAGTCATAAGTAAAATATACTTAACACGGGTGTTTTCGTAATTTGACTGTCACGTATCATTTGCGCATAGCACGTGTTCAAATACCTTGTAATTTGCTATGTCAATCATATTTATTGGTTGATCATTAAACATCTATTTGGTGGAATACTCGTTTGGCGAGAATAGTGATGGCTGCATGTTTGCAGGTGTGCCGCTCATTGAAACTCCAATATTGAAAGGTTTTTGCTTAGCGTATAGTATCGAATCTATGTCGTATTGAGGCGGTGCATAACTTTTCTAGGTTGAGCCCCCAGCCCCTGCGAACAATTTTAAGCATTGAAGCCTTCACAAGACCCACAAGACCCCCAACTGCCCGAAACCCTGACTCCTGCCTTGCCGACGCACTTGGGAAACTCCGACGTGCGCTGCTGTGCAAATCAATGGCTTCAGACTCAGCCCGAAACCCTACATCCTGAGCAAGCTAGACATTCAACTTTGAAGCCGTAGACCATGAAGCTTACAGCCTTCCACCCGAAGCCGCAAGTTGTCCGCTGCTCTGCTCGCTGCTGACTTCTTCTTCGGAAAGGGTGAAACGTGCACTGTCCCGATGCCCAAGCCAAAGAGGACTTTGCCACTACGGACCTGCCGCTCACTTGTCAGAGTTGCGAGCCCTGGCCGGCGGGCACAGTAAAACAGACAAGCATCCCGGCAGACTGAGAGGTTGCATGGCTTAGGGTTGAGGCAAGCGGTCTTCGTTCCAAGAAAGCTGCCAGCTTGTCCTCCAGTTTGGGCTGCGTAGTTCCAAGCCACTTATCTGGGTGGGCCCATTTTTAGTTCAACGCTGTCCTGTCCGTGCTTAGCCGAACATGCATGACTGCCACAGTCTGTTCAAAGATGTCAGCCAAGCTACTTCTCTGCTGGAAAGCAAAGCTCCTCGGCTCACCGACTTGAATCTTCAATCCACAAAGGGCAAGGCCAAGCACGTGGGACAATGACTGGAACGAGCCTACCTTGCTGGAACCCCAATGGAGAAGAGAATGTAGGCAACGATGTCCACCGCCCACCGCCACCTGGCATGTGCAAGCATCACATCTTCATTGAAATACGCTGAGCAAAGGCAAAAGTGCACGGAAAGCCGCTTTAGCCTTTTTGCACTGCTGTGATGGTGCGAGCTCTGATTCGGCAGGAGCACAAAGGGCAGCAGGCAAGTCGTTCTGTTCAGACCTACGCGCCCAAACTGGACTGTGCATCCTTGCAAAATACAGTCCTGGAGCCAGCCGCCCTGGAGACCTGGGGACCTAGAGACCTAAAGACCTGAATCGCATAAACTCAACTTTAACTGCGACTCCCTCAGGCACAGGACACCCTGGCAGCACTTCGGAAGATGGCCTTCAAAGCCTAGATCCAGGCAGTTTGATCGTGCGCAGTAGCATCACCAGCACTGGTGCCAGCTGCATTCAGCTGCGACTTGCTGGACCTCATGGCCTGGTCTACGCCACTGCACCACTTGGCACAGCGACTCATGTGAAGCTCAAATGGACGTCCTTTGGAGTCGGCTTCGCGCATAAGCTTCACGACGATCGGGATCTTTTTGAACATGATGGCCCTTTTCTTAGGTGAGATACCATACCAATGCTGTTCAAGCACTGTGACAGTTAAGGAAGCTTTGGCAGGCCTCGATTGTGTACATGGGTTACATGGGGGTCGTAAAGTATTTGGAACAGTCTGCTTTCTCGTGAGGCTGTAGAAGTAGCCGTCTGCCGTGACCCACAATGACCTGAATCCTGAGTCGTCCTGGGGCAAGGCGCTCCACCACCGCGCGCAGCCGCCATCCAACGAAGTGACGATCTTCAGCTTGTCCATTCGCCTCAGTGATTCAAGGCGCAGCCGCTTCAACCAAGTTCAGTAGTTTCTGCACAACCCATAAGCGCTACAAGTTGCAGGATAGAAGGGGTTAGCACGTGGAGGCGGACATTGCAGTTGCCCAAGGTCTCCACGTAATCCTTCGTGAACCTCTGCCGGACTGCCACCCTCGACCAGTGCAATGTTCCTGACAGAAGTCTCAGGCTCAGGACTCAATCCGTCAAGAAAACATGGCACTGGCTAAGGCGGCCCTGGCTTCAACACTTTGCCACTTGTCCCCGGCCACGTTGCCTGGCAGCTGCCTCTGTCCCATCTTCTTCATACCCGTCTTCAGCATGAAGGGCTCAGCGAAAGCGGCCACATCGGCGGCGTAGTAGGAGACGTGCAACAAGTGCCCATCCTGCTGGACCGGGAGCATCCAGCCCTGCCACTCTGGGCTGTTGTCCTTTCAATCAGAAGCAAGAGATGAAACCATCATGATGCGAAACTGGATTCCATGCGCAAAGGACTCGCAGCCAAGTGTCCGCAAACGATTGCAACTGACAGCCCCTTGCCACCCCATTCACGATGTACGGGTTCAGCAAGATGTGAGCATACCCTCGCTCGAGTGTGAACTGCTCCAACACCTCCCGGATGCAGCAGCTCAACTCGGATGTGCAAAAGTCAGAGTTGACACATCTCAACATGCACAATAAGGTCATGTCTGCATTGCTGCTTCGGCACAACCTGAAACTTTTGCGGGACACTCTGCCGGGCAGGGAGCTGCGACAGCAATGTTGAGATGCGGTCGAACAGCACTTCATCCTGAAACGGAAATCCTGGGCTATGGGACACGACAGTGTGCCTGGTTGTGCTTGCAAGGCTAAATCAGGAACAGTCTGAGAGCACATGTGCGACCAAGGCACTCACACAAAGGCTGTTCAACTTGTCCTGGGTCCGCACACCTTCAGGAAAGAAGCTGCTCTTCAGGCAGTTGAACGATGCCATCCCCCAGGTAAAACACATTGAGGTGTCGTATATGTTGTTCAAGATGTCCGGAGCCGTCGAGATGGCCCTGCCAGCAATCTGTCATGTGACATCTACCAACTCTACCACCCTCAGCAGCCCTGAGTGAAAATGCTTCAAAGTCACGTGCAGTGGGCTTGTGCGGCCCGGATCTTTAGGATGCCGGGCTGCACCACCGGAAACATGGCGGATGCGACGACGTCTTCGATGGTGGCATCAGCGCTGGCGGGGGGCCGCCACTGCCGTCCACGCATCGTCGGACCCCTCGGCCATCGGCGTGGCAGTGGAAGATGCCGGTGCTCGGTCCTGCCCATTGCAGCACCTCGAGCGAACCTCTGGAGACGTCAGGACGTGACGTGAGGACCTGGGGTCCTGGGTGCCTGCGAGCCAAAGCATGGCAAGCAAGGCAACAGCTCACGAGCTAGTTTGCCCCTCAACAAATTCTGTCATGGATGACTGCATCGGAGACTTCTAAATTATGCCAAGCGGGCCTTCTGAAGATCTCCTTCTTGTTGAGCAGACCTGTGGGTCTGGGGACCTAATCTGTGCCTGGGGCCCTGAATAGCAACGGCAAGCAACAGAAGCATTCACCAGGCCCAGAAACAGAAAAAATGTAAAATTCCCGAAAGCTCTACACACCTAGTTTTAAAAGTTTGGACACTAGTTAGAGCACATGTAAATATTATACTGCTGCCCCATTCATGCTATGTGCCGAGTTTTTCTGCTCATAGTTTGTAAGTACCATTTTTACGACAAGAAACCCGCAAGTTTTCATGCTATACCCATCGAACATGTGATGTTCACATACTACTTGAGCAGTATTCCACTACTATGTGCTTCATTTCCTTGAGATCTAACCCAACAGCAACTCATCGTCTAAATATTTCACGAATGTGTACACAACTAAGTTTTCGAAATGTTCCACTTATGCATACGGCATTCCATGGTTTCGTCGCTAGCGAATACTTTTTGCGCATTCACGTGTTTTTGTTGGTATCTCTTCTCGATGAAAGAAGTGCCAATCACTACTGAAGACAGCTAGCACTACTGCACAGATTAGCTGTTCCAGTTTTACTGCGTATTATCTGCATACTGCATGCTGTGTAGCTGTAGCTTGAGCAGGAAGGCAGAACAACGTGAACCATTCAACAACCTAATACTAACTGGGCATTAGTTTTAGCTGTCTCACAGAAGCAATAACAGATGTATCGTCAATACTGTGTGACTCGACACTGCAGGGAATGGACATTTTGCGAACAGTACAAGGAAACATGCTAAACGGCTGTCGCCAGCGCCAATGCATATGAAGTTCTGCAGACACACGCCGGTGGTATAAACACACCGAATAGGTGGGTACGTCGGGGGGTAGCATATACATGTGTGTGTGTGTATATATATATATATAATATGTCAGATTCACTTTGGACAAAGAGGAGACATCGGACAACCAATCACAAATAAAGGCGCAGCAGCTGCATTGTAAATTGCGAACGAGGACGGATGTAGCAAAGTTGTACACTGTGCACCGCGCACCTGCATCATCCTGCACCCCTCATGGAAAAACGGGCTGCCTGTATCCTCGGGTCCACCCCGAGTGCGGTAGCCAAGCGCCTCTACCTCGTCCCGCAGCCCAGCCTCGGACTCGGCTTGAGGGGAAAGCTGTCTTTGCCAGGCGTGTGGAGCTGTCACAGATTATCGCTGTTGAGACTTCCGAGGTGTGTTAGCTTGGCGGACCGGAAAGCTTTTTGAAGGCGGGCAGAATGAAGTTGAGGTCAGTTCCGGGACATTTCTGATGTCCGAGCTTCGGGTGTATGGATAAGCGATAGATGCCGGACAGACCTTACAGACCCTTTCCGGATGGCGAATTGGGTCAACTGCTTTAGCGCGAACGTAGAAATGACCGGCAGCTGCCAAGCGTTTAGTGCCACTTCTGTCCATTCCCGAGCAACCTCACCAACGACATAGATGTCCCGATCTTTGGGGACTCCACGTCTTTCCTGGACATGGACAGAACTGTCAAGCATTGCACCAGCTCTGCAAGTATGCAAGGTTGGACGATGGGACGGTGCCAGTTCACTGGAGTCATGCTGAGTCTCCAGAAGTTGCGCGACCGCTGCTGCGCTGTTATAAACGTGCTGTTCTTCAGCCCAGTCCACACCCAGCAACCTCAATCGGCCAGCAACCTCGGCTACGGCGTTACAGCAATGCAACAGTATGTCAGTCATGCAAACTCATGGACACAAGAAGGGCATGTGGGACAGAGCCCGGGTTTTTGCGACAGCTTCAGGCATGCAACATCAGCTCGGGTCCGCATGGCATTGTTCGTTGCAAACACAACGACCTTGCCCGACTTGCGCAAATCGGCCAAAGCCTGTTGGACGCCATCTACCTGCCATCAACTCGTCGTCTGGAGGCGAGAAGGGGTAGCAAACACTCACCAGTCGTCGCACTCTCAGCAAATATCTCTCTGGAGGTGTAATGAGCCCAGCCCCCGGAAGCACCAGCTTGTCTCCGATCCAGATCACGCCGTCAAGGTCGAAGACAAAAACGTCCACACCTGTGCCAGCAGTGAGTGTGCCAGATCCTGCAAGGCTGTTTCTCGGTGACCAATTTTGCGGAGACATGCCGAGGTGCTGTTCAGAAGCTTCCGCGCAGCTGCGTCGTCCAGCTCACGGCTCTGGCCCCACGGGGCCGAGAGCGCAAGGTTTGGGGCGGCTCTGTGCTGATCCACCACTTGCCACCCGCGCAGCCTGAGGCTGCGGTAAACAAGTTCGGTGCATCGCAGGTAATCACTGCGACAAGTTTGACAAGAAGCAGAAAAGTAGCAGCCAGAAAAGCCACCAGCAACCGTCTCGGCCGTTGTATCGGCATGGCTACGGTGGCTACAGCTGCCTCACCTTTCAAACTAATCCCTCTGCGCTCTCTTTTTTGTCGATGATAGTTGTGGTTCAGCCTGCGGCTTCGACATCCAGGGCTGCAAGCATCATACGTCCGCAGGGAAGCATGGGTTCGGGCTTCATCCCTTAGCAAGCTTCGTGCAAAATCCTTGACGACCTTCTCGCATTGCTGCGATCGCCGCGATTTCTTGAGGACCTGCACTCGCAACTGAGAGGGTCACACGGACGCAACCATCTGCAAATATCTGCAACTTCGCAGCGGCACCGACGCATGCAATATTGTGCTTACAGCTTGGCGCCTCTTGGTGGACGACAAAGCTCAGTCGTCGTCGGATTCTCTTCCTGCCAACTAGTACTGTAGCCGTTAGGCCCGTTCTGACTGTAAAAACCCCCGCACTGCCTGGCTGCGAGAGCCCCGTCTGTCAGACCGAGGTTCCCTTCCAGCCTGCAGGATGCACCGACAACCACGGCCTGGCAGTGGGGTGTGCCGAAGGCCTCGCCCGGAGCGCGCCGAGCGTCATGGACTGCAAGTCCACGTTCGCCAGGATGGACTGGACCTTCCGAGAGCTCCGAGAAGCTCCGAGAAGCTCCGGAGCATCGCCGGCCTCTGCAATCAACCTTGCATCTGGAATGTCGCAGGCAGCCTGGCCATCCCAAACCACGGTCTTCAAATAGCGTGGCCGCAACAGTGCCTGTGCGCCGCTCGTCACACTGGTCGGAACTTCGGTGCTCTCCTCCGGAGCTTCGCTCGTGACCACTGCCGGGCTTTTATCGGTCTCTGCCTGGTTCGGTGTGGCTTCATATCATTTCGCAAGCCACGAGGACGCGACGTGTCAGGCACACCTGCTTCTCTCGCGTAAATTCAGCCGTTCCACACTTCTGGATTTTGCAAGGTACCTCGCACAAGCACAACCAAGGCAGGAGGAAACCTGTGAACCTCCACCCCATCGCATCGCCCGCCTCCTCTCCTGGAGAACTCGGAGCCTTGGCCTTCTGTGCCATGCTGCCCCTGCGAAGGGTGGCCAAACATGCTCATCCGTAGCTGTCAAGATAACTGACACAGCTTAAGCCCCAGGCCTTCTTGCCGAGGCCGCCAATGAATTACTTGAGCCCGTGTCAAGAAAATGATCTGATCTCGCCCGTACACCAGCTTTTGAGATCAGTCGCACGCTCGAGAAAGCAGTGCGACCCCTCGGTTCTCTGTGCTAACCGTTAACCGTCAACCTGCATCCTGGTGATGACCATCAGGATGATGTCGATCATCGTGATGGTGATGATGTTGATGATGTTGATGACTGATGATGATGGTGATGATGACAATGATGATGATGATGGTGATGATGATGACGACGATGTTGATGATGACGCCGAGAAAGAATGCAAAGGCAGCCGTGGTGTCTTCGATAACACGCAGGACGATGTCTCTTCTGGCTTGCTTCATGAATTGAATTTGAACGACATAGCTCTTACTTCTCTAACCCTTGCTGGCTTTGCTTGCTAGAATCGTGGGGCCGAAATCCGTGCTCCCTCCCTCTCTTCCTTCCGCTCTCCCCTTCTTGCACGTCGCACGCGTGTCTGCCAATGTCTACCTTGCCTGTCGTTGCAGCATTGCAACAGCATCGCAGTACGCTCGACTCTGACACCATCAATTGCGTGAGCAAGCTCTGCCAGTTCGGAAACTGGACTTGCATGTATATACGTATGTAGAAAGTAGAGCTAAGCTTTCTAAAGTAACGGTACGGTAGAGGCAGTGAGGTGAAATGAAGCCATGTTGTGTTGTGCTATGTTACGTCACTACGTTGCAACCTCATATTGTGTTGTGCTATACTGTATTGTTTTATGCTGCCCGATGTTAGCAAGCAAGTATGTGCGCAGGTATATACATGCATCTGTTTCTTCATTTGCATACCCCTGTGATCCCCCGTGCGGACGTCCAAACATCAGTGGTGCTCACACTGTGAAAGTGACAGGTGCCAGCCGGAAGGTGACATGCCAGTAGCCTCCTCAGGTCGGCCCCTTCAAGTAGAGCAGAGCGTAGTATAGTGTAATATAGTATAGTGCAGTATATTATTATGGTATGGTATAGTTAAGTATGGTATAGTACAGTATAGTATAGTGTAGTGTAGTATAGTGTATAGTATGTTGTAGTATAGTAAAGTTGAGTAGAGTATAGTATAGTAGAGTTTAGTAGTGTATAGTATAGTATGTCTAGACACCACCCAGAAAGTTTCGCCCCGCATTGATTGCCCATAAGTAGGTCTTCAGAAGCGTAGCATCTAGCGTGATGTACGACAGATATCGTTTCCTCTTTACGAAAACTGCTGTGAAGACACAGCTCATCCCGTCCCTGCATGCAATACTCGCTAATCTCAGTTTCGATGCCATGTTCTGGCCAGGAGTTCAAGGGCGGCCAGAGAAGTACGTGCAGCACTCAGGAGTTCTTGGTCACAGCTTCGAGCTGTCCACAATCTCCTCCATGCACGCCCGATGCTACGATGCTGCTCTTCGCGCAGTAGAGACTTGGAGGAAAAGTCCTGTAGCCACTGACCCATCTTGCGCGAGCCATGTCTATGCCTCGCGCCAGGAAGATGACGGCATCTGAAGGCTCTGAAGTTGATGGCAAGCGCACCTTGCATGGGCATGTTCTTGATCCATGCTTGGCATCGCCTTCCAGGAGAGCAGCTCTGTAATGGCAATTTGCTTAGCAGATGCCGCTTCCCTGAGGCTCCCGCATTCCACTGCGAGGCTTCTGACTCTAACCTGAAATCGGGAGACCGCTGGTTCTGTGGTAGTTGGAAAGGCTGCCCCGGCCTCAGCACCTCGAGCTCTTTCTGCTGCTGCTGGTGAAACCGTTCCAGCTCCTTCTCCTGATGCCTGGTGTCGTCTGTTTTTGTGATGGCATCTGGCAGAAGGTATGTCCATCGATTGCCCCCGGCCACGGCCTCTGCAGGCGCCGACGTAATTCGTCAAGTTGCTGATCTTGACGCAACTGGCACGCCCGGGCCCCAATCCCAGAGGATTTCCAGAGTGTCATCGCAAGCGTAGCACCATATGCACATGTACGCATCCATGTCATGAATCTGAAGTGTTTTTCGATGCCCCGGAGTCTGTTTTCGATGTCCGGGCGTGCAGACACCTACATGTCCTGTCGGGGCCTGCAGCTCCAGTAGAGCAGCGCGGTCCTGTTGTAGCCGATGTACCCGAGACATACCTTCCGCCTGCCCAGAAGCATCTCAGCCACCCTAGCTTGAGGTTTGAATCAGTGAAATGACACCACTTCCTCTTCCTGTCACAGCTCGTGCATCACAAGAGCGCACAGCAGCCATAGCAGCAAGGCAAGGTTCCAGTGCTTGCGAGGGGCATAAGATTCCTGCGCTGGCTTTCCATGAAGCTGCATGATCTCGGGAAGTTGCGGGCGTCGGAAAAATCTCCCTGACTTCCCTAACTACTTCCGGATAAGCTTACGATTCTACCATCATCCGCCACTGCATCGCCCAATGGCACTGCTCGGAGCCCATTCCACTTTCAGCACCGGACACTCTGAGCTTCTGCATCGTCCTTGTCCTTGCCAGCGGCCGTATTCTATGATGCTCCATGCTCATATGCAAATCCACCGTCCCCAGAGAAGCGGCGCAGCAACGCTCGTGACACGCAATCTGGTCCTCGTCATCATCTATGGCCTGCTCCTGTTGCTCCTGTTGCTGCTGCTCCTACTACTACTACTACTACT